TGGCCTGTATGACAACCTACAAGCTCCTCTCCGCACTCATATTTGAGCCCACCTACTCTAGCAGTTTCAGTTAAAACATTTTTCAAAGTTATTTGCAGAACAAATTAACCTCAGATTTTTTTTTAGGTACATTTAGCACTGAGTATGTTTTAAATGCGTAGGTTGAGGTTTTCTTTAAGACAGTGTGGTTGCATGAGAGCAAACTTTAGGATAGGGTCAGTTTGGAAAATTCATCAAGGTCGGAGAGGAACATGATTTTCCTGTCTGAAGATGGAGTGAGGTAATAGGACACGCTGATTTTTAGCAGTACCTCCATCAGCACAGGCAGCCCTTCAGTTAAATAGGCAAGGACTTTGTTAATGTATTTATAATAGGGGTCAGTAGATAGCACAAACAGCATTTCTGCTATACTGCCAAAGGATTGGCAGCTGACCAGTACAATCTACAAAAAAAAATGCAGTTACCTCCATCCAGTTGGTGCACTTCTTATACTGTTTGTTTTTAAGATATTAGGGGATAAAAACTAAATACACTGTTTGATTTCCCATGACTTTGTACACAGTGTGAAAGACAATTGTAACCTTCAAATGACGTTGATAGCAATGTCAGAGCAGAGCAGTCTTGATTTTAAAATCATTCATTTTCGTTTATTTTGAAATTTTTGTTATGAATTCCTGTATTCATCTTTATAAAGGAAAATTCCTTTGTAAATTTGACTCTCCATAGTTGCACTGTTTTGTTGCTGGTGGTGCTGCATAGATAAGTTTTCATTAGAACTGCTGACAATGAAATGAGGAGGGCTTATGCAGTCATACAGTCAAACTCAAGGTATCAATAAAATCCCAGAGCTGCTAAACGAATGAACAGAGGTTATGAATTATATGCTAATACTATAAGCAATCATTTCCTAGCCAACAAACTGCACTTGTAAACTTGTAATTATTTTGTTCCAATTAAGGCTGAGAATTATTTTTTCCCTGTTTTATTACTTTTGTTCAGGTATCTTTCAGATTCTAAGAGTCACAGTTTTGAAGAATGGTTTGAGCAACTGTACATTTACTGCTTTCTCAAATGAGAGAAAATGAAGACCAAAGTGCAACTTCCTGTCCCAGTTCCAAACTTACCCCAGTTTCTGGCAAAATAATCTTGCTTAGGAACGCCACCTGGTGGCAGACTTGTGTAATTCAGCATATCATAAGAACACAGCTGAGTCTGAGCTTGAGCCTGCTCCAGCTCTTCAATAAGACCATAGCTGATCTTCTACAAATCAACTTCCCTTCATCACGCAATCGCTACATCCCTTGATGTCCTTATTGTCCAAAAATGTATTGATCTCGGCTTTCAATGTTCTCAATGACGAAGCACCATCAGCTCTCTAGGTTACAGAATTCTAAAATTTCACAACCCTCTGAGTGAAGACTTTGTATCTTAGTCCAAAATCTCTGTCTCACTATGACACTCTAATGTTAGACTCCCTGACTAGGGAAGCAGCTTTTCAGTATCTAACTACACAAGCCCTCTAACATTTTACACAATATTTGATTTGATTTATTATTGTTACGTGTACAGTGAAAAGTGTTGTCTTATGTGCTTTACAGGCAGATCGTACTTTACATGTGCATCCAGGATACAATGTTACAACTGCCGAGAAGGTACGGAGAGATCAACATTAACATTAAACAGGTCCCTTCAAAAGTCTGAAAACAGCAGGAAGAAGCTGTTCTTGAATCTGTTCGTATGTTTATACAAACTTTTATATCTTCTGCCCAACAGAAGAAGGTGGAAGACAGAATGACTGGGGTGGGAGGGCTCTTTGATTATATTGGTTGCTTTCCTGATGCAGTGGGAAGTATAGATGAAATCAATGGATGGGAGGCTTGTTTGCGTGATGGACTGGGCTGTGTTCACAACTTTCTGTGGTTTCTTTCAAACTTGGACAGAGCAGTTGCCATACCATGCTGTGATACATCCAGATAGGATGCTTTCTATGATGCATATATAAATATTTGTAAGAGTCTTTATGGACATGCTGAACTTCTTTAGCCTCCTGAGGAAGTAAAGGTGTTGCTATGCTTTCTTGACTGTAGAGTCAACAAGGGTTGACCAGGACAGATTGTTGGTGATCGTCACTCCCAGGAACTTGATGGTCTCGACCATCTCCACCTCAGCATCACTCATACAGACAGGGGCAAGCCCTCCACTCTGCTTCCTGAAGTCAATGATCAGCTCCTTCATTTTACAGACATTGATGGATTGTTGTAGGTACACCATGCCCATAAGCACTCTATTTCCTTCCTGTACTCTGTCTCGTTGTTGTTTGAGATCTGACCTACTTTGGTGGTGTCTTCAGAAAAATTGTAAATGGAGTAGTGTTGGGGATTATCGTGGAGGAGGTATTGTAGCCTATTCTAACTGATTGTGGTCTGTTGGTCAGGAAGTCAAGAATCCAGTTACAGAGTGGGGAGCAGAGACCGAAGTCTCATAGTTTGGAGATGAGTTTGTTTGGAATTATGGTTTTGAAGGCAGAGCCGTAGTCAATAAGTAGCAGTCTAATGTAGGTATCCTTGTAATCCAGATGTTCTGGTGATGAATATCAGGCCAGTGAGATGGTGTCTGTTTTGGACCTGTTGCGCCAGTAGAGGAATTGCAATGGATCAAGGCAGTCTGGTAGGCTGTAGTTGATGTGAGCCATGACTAACCTCTCGAAGCACTTCTTAATAACGGATATCAGATCCAACAGGCAGCAGTCATTGAAGCACTTTGCATGACTTTTCTTTGCCACTGGGATGATGGTGGTCTTTTTGAAGCAGGTGGGGACTTCAGATCATAGTAGGGAGAGGTTAAAGATGTCTGTGAATACTCCCACCAGCTGGTCCACACAGGATCTGGGTGCACAGCCGGGGCCTCCATCTGTGCCAGTTGCTTTCCATGGGTTCACTCTCAGGAAAGCCGATATAATGTTTGCGTCAGTGACCATGGGTATAGGTACATCCGAGGCTGATGGGACAGGTAACATTGTTTCACTGACCTTCTGTCCAAAGTGAGCATAGAATGCATTGAGCTTGTCGAGTAGGGATGTACCGTTGCCCACGATTCTGTTTGAATTTGCATTGTAGGCCTTTATGTAATATAAGCCTTGCCACAAATAATGGGTGTCCATATGGTTAGTCTGGATCTCAAGCTCAGGTTGGTATTGCCTTTTGGTGTCTCTGATGCCCTTGTGAAGGTCGTACCTGGATTTCCTTTATAGGTCATGGTCACCCGACTTGAATGCCTCAGACCTGGACTTCAGTAGGGAGTGAATTTCCTAGTTCATCAATGGTTTACCACTGGGGAACGTTAGGATTAACTTATTTGGCACGCTGTCATCCACACACTTACTAAGGAAGTCTGTAACAACAGTGCCATCTTCGTTTAGGTTCACTGCTGAGTTCTTAAATATGGACCAGTCCACTGACTCTAAGCAGTCTCGTAGAAGCCATTCAGTTGCCTCAGACCAACACTGCACTACTTTCTGTACTTGGTCCTCATAATTCAATTTCTGCTTGTAAGCCAGGAGGAGGAGCACAGAGTTGTCATCTGATTTTCCAAAATGATGGTGGGGAATGGAGCAGTAGGCATCTTTTATGGTTGTGCAGCAATGGGCAAGGATGTTTGGACCTCTGGTGGGACAGGAGAGGTGTTGGTGGAATTTTGGTAGCATGTTCTTGAGTTGGGCCTGGATGAAGTCGCCAGCTACGATGAACAAAGGTTCAGGGTATTCTGTCTCAAGACTGTTGGTAGTGTTGTATATATCATCATATACTGCACTCTTCACTTCTGTATCGGGTGGAATGTAGACCGCTGTCACGATAGTGCAGGTGAACTTGTGCGGCAGGTAGTAAACGTGGCATTTCACCGTTAAATGTTCTAGGTCCGGGGAGCAGTGACTCACCAGCGTCACAGTGACTGAGCACCAGGATATATTGATTAGGAGGCAGACCCCACTGCCCTTTTTCTTGCCCAAGGATGCTGAGCAGTCCATTTGGTGAACTGAGAAACCCTCAGGTTGTAAGGCATGGTCAGGTGTAGCTGCAGTGAACCATGTCTCTGTGAAACAGAGCACACAGCAGTCCCTCAATTCTCAATTTTATACATTATGGCTTATATTATTCCATCTGGGGAAGGGTGCCATATAGGTAAAGTGCCAGGTGCGTAGGGGTAGGGTGCCAGGTAAGTTAGATTTGGATGTGGGGGAGAGGAAGGGATGATGAGACTGGTGGTGGTTGAGGGGTTGGCCTCAGATCCATGAACAGAATAATGAATGCTGGGGTCTGGAGCAGGAAAGTGAAGAGTGGGGGAGATCAAAGTCTCTTGAAGGGTGCGGATAGGTGGTTGAGGGGAGGGAGGAGGTACCTGGTCCTGTGATGGGGTGTGTCAAGTCCCAGGCATAGTGGGGTGTTGGTCCAGTGGTAGGGAATGTTGGGTATCAGGGTAGAGGGCAGTGACATTGCCAGGGGTTGTAAGGGTTGAGGTAAGTGTAGTTGGGATGAGAGAGGTAAGTTGTGGGTTAGTTGAATAGTTAATGCTGCTGCCAATCAACGTCCACTTGCCAATCAATTGGCACTCCCCTGTCACGCGTGTGCAAATGTTGCTTTTACCCCTTGAATTGGTAATCTTGTAAAATGTCCTGATGAATATTGGAAAAACAGCTTTGACAAAATGTGACATTGTTTCAGCAAATACTCAAGCTCTGTGCTGCCGAATGACTATTTGTAACAGCTAATTGTTAAATGAAGATGATTAAAGACTTGCCTTTAAAAAGAGAGCTGAGGAAATGGCTAAAGCAGGAGAGACCACAGCTGAACTGCAGAGGGAACAATTTAACAAGCTGGGCTTGAAGAATTCACAAAATTAGGGATTAACAAAGTTAAGGATTGATAAAGCTATGGAGGTGTTGGAAAGGAAGTTTGAGGAATGATCGTCAGAAATTATAATACTGAAATCAAACTTCTGTGCATCATTTCTGAATTAATTTAATTTCATTTTCGGATGACAATCATTAAGGTGTTGCATGCAAGCCTCATAAGGAAGGTAAAATAATTTATTAAATAATCTCTCAAACAAGATTCATTTCTGATTTCAGCTATCAAATAGGCAGCCACAAGCTTTAGATCTATTTGAATTACTCATTGTGTGTATCTTAATCATAACTTTATTATGGGAATTCCCAAAAACAATAAAAACCTCACACTGTTACATCATTCACTGAGTTGCTGCTTTATGTACAATACCTTTACTTAATACTGATAACAAATGTAAATCAATTTACAATAAAAGGGAATTAGACTGCATTAAAGAAAAGCATTTAGATACAATATCTAGAACTATTATCACATTGAAAGTGAAGAAATAGTTCACAGATTCTCCATGTTTTATTTACTTTGAAAAGTTAACACAAAGGACATGGCTGGCTGCATATTGTTATTGCTGCACTAGAAGATCAATCCCAAGGCAATGACAGCATTATGTTAATGTTAGCAATCCAGATCCCCTGATTAATTTTCTGGTGATACTAGTTCAAATCAAGTGCAACTGGTGGTCTACAAGTGACTCTATACCCATGGGAATATGGTTGGCCCTGAACCAGCCTAGCAAACCACTAAGATGGAAGATGACTCGCCACAACCTTCTCAAGGGCAGTTAGGGATATGCACCAACTGCTGGCCTGGACCTTCATCTATGAAGGAGTAAAAACAAAATCGCTACTTGGCACGTTCCTCATGACAGACATCACAAGCAAAACTGAAAGCAAGCCACGTTAGGGTGGATTACCAAAACTTTGGTAGGTATGTCTGAAGGAACATGCTTAAAAGGAGGAAGGAAAGGCAAAAAGGGATTGAGGAGGCCATTCCAGAGGTTAGGTCCAAGGCACCTAATGGCGTGATGTAGGAGCAATGAACATTTTAGAGGCTCAAAGGGCTAGAATTTCTCACAGGGAAGGGAGAACAGAGGAGAATTAAACAAAAAATTCACCCAAATCTGTCAGTCACGTTTGTACATCTGTCAATGGGTTATTGCAAATATTATGAGTGAATGGAGGTAAATTATCTGGGTACAGACTGGGACAAATGCAGTAATAACCAACATAGAGCATTGTAACTTCTCCAGTCTGGAACAAAGAAATACAGAAACACCAGTTACCTGGAATTCTTTTCAGCAAGCCCTTCAACTCACACTCACTACTCCCAGCACTGTACAAGCCCATGATCCACTGGGTTGATGCTGCCAAACAGCAATGTGCAGACAATGAGCTCAACATGCTTGTTAAGCCATGAAAACACTTTTATCAGCAATTGTCTAGTGGGCCTGGGATGTTTGTGTAGAGGTAGGAGGTAAATGTAACTCAGTCACTGATTTATTGGTAAGTCTGGAAATATGGGAAGAGCCAGCATAGTGGCTCAGTGGTTAGCACATCTGCCTCATAGTACCGGGGCCCAGGTTCAATTCCACCCTTGGGTGAATGTCTATGTGGAGTTTGCATGTTCTCCCTGTGTCTGTGTGTGTTCCCTCTGGATGCTCTGTTTTCCTCCCATAGTCCAAAGATGTGTGGGTTATGCCAAATTGCCCATAGTGTGCAGGGGAATGGGTCTGGGTGGGATGCTCTTTTGGAGCATTGGTGTGGACTTGAGGGGGCTGAATAGCCTGCTTCTACACTGTATGGATTCTATGTAGGTGGTGTGGCTGAGCAGGGAAGCTGAGTGACAGCTTTAAATTTTGCTGTGTTTCAACTCCCCCCTTACCCCGCTGTATCAGCGATTATCCCATTCTGGTGACTCTGTTTTGCAGACACTGGCATCAAAATATGGGGAGAGGGATTGATTAATCTGTGTGTGTTTGACTGCGTATGTTGATTAGGTAACAATTTGAGATAACTTTAAATGTTTTCAAATATATTAAAACATTGTGATTTGCAAACCTTCAATAATGTTTATAATGGAATGCATTGTTTAACTGTCGATGATGCTCAATTTAATTCCGTATCCATGTGTGTTGGTGCATCAGCCAATAGGTTCAAATGATGGATTTGAAACCATGCACCGTCATGTCTTAACATAGTTTTGGTGTGTTTTATGTCTTGGGTTCAGTCTTGAATCCAGTTCGCACACTTGTTGTTGGGCTTTCTAACATTATTTTATATTTCAGAAAATTCCAAAATCCAGAAATGCCTTGGTTACGTACTCTCCAGATTGAAGAAGTTGTTGTGCATTAGAAACAGTTTCTATGTGAATTAGAATTGTCTATCCAATTACTGGAATACCACACTTGGCTCGTTTTGAGGACAGAAGAAAAATAAAGCATAAATTAAAGTAATAACAAAAATAGAATACTGTGGCTACTGGAAATCTGAAATAAAAGCAGAAAATACTCTAAATGTTCAGCAGGTCAAACAGCATCTGTGGAAAGACAGAGAAAGAGATAGAAAAATATAACATTTACATTTGGTCATGTTTTAAACATAAAATAAAAGGAATGCTGTTTGATAAAATATTTTGGTACCTTAAATGTTCCAAGAGAACAATATATGTACAATGTTTCTTTGCAAATACTTTTGGATCGAGCTGACAACATGACATAATGTTTGTATTCTAGGATTTTGATGAAATGTTATGCAATTTGAATAGATAGAATATTTTAACACAAGAGATACTTAGAAAATGCAAAACCAGTTGAAATAAGACACTAGTAAAACCATTTGAAAACTAAGAGTATTTAACATTACTGGTGAACCAGGTGCTTAGGATATTGCTCCCAATGTTATGCAGATTCCTGATTTTAGTGTGAAATTTATTAACTGTAACATCTGCAAAATTATTTGTGATAACAGTAGCAACTTGGTTTTGTATTGCACCTCTAACATAGTAAAATAACCTAAGGCACTTCATAGCAATGTTACCAAATAAAATTTGAAATGGAATCACCAAAGGTGTTGGTAGAGTGGATGACTAAAAGGTTGATAAAAACAGGTGCATTTCAAACAGCATCTCAAAAGAGGAAAGGCAGAGAGGTGGAAGTGTTTGGGCAGGGAATTATGGAGTTTACAGTTTGGCAACTGATGGCACATGCAGCAGTGCTGCAGTAAGTGATGTTGCAGAAGATCAACGGGACCAGAATTGGAGGCGTGCAGATATTTTGGAAGTGTGTAGGGCTGGTGGAGGTAATGGAGATGATGAAGGGTAAGGCCATGAAGGAATTTGAAAACCAGGATGAAATTTTTAAAATTGATGAGTTGCTTAAGTGGGAGTCAATGTGGGTCAGCAAGAGAACAAACAGGGCCTGATGCAATTTAGGATACATGCCAGAGACGGATTATCTCCAGTTTATAGGTAGGAGAACACAGAAAGATTACTGGGAATGAATTAGAATAGAGATTTTTGTTTTGGGGGCTTCACCACGAGTTGCATAGTGCCTCAGTGATTAGCATTACTGCCTCACAGTGCCAGAGATCCGGGTTTCATTCCAGCTTTGGGTGACTGTCTGTGTGGATACTGCACATTCTCCCTGTGTTTGTGTGGGTCCACTCAGGTGCTCCAGTTTCCTCCCACAGTCCAAAGATGTGCAGGTTAGGTGGATTGGCCGTGCTAAATTGCCCATATTGTCCATGGGTGTGCAGGCTAGGTGTATTAGCCATGGTAAATGCAGGGTTAGGGGGATAGAGTGAGGACCTGGTTTTTTGGGGCTGCTCTTCAGCAGGCCAGTCAGATTCGTTTGGCTGCATGGCCTCTTTCTGCACGGTAGGGATTGTATGACACATTCTATGAGGCAGTGGTGGAGTTGAACAATGTTAGAGAAGTGGAAATAAACATATATGGTGATGGTGAAAATCTCTACTTGCAAACTCATGTCAGGTTAAATTAAAACACCATAGTTGTGCACATTCTCAGAGGCAGTTATCAGGGAGGGCATGAAGATGGTAGTTAGGGAACTCACTTTGTGACAGGGACTGAAGATAATTGCTTCCACCTTGCACAATTTAGTTGGAAGAAATTTCTGCTCATCTGGTACAGGATGTCAAACAGTGGTGGGTTTGAAAGAGGTGGTGGTGAGTTGGGTGTTGACAGTATACATGTGAAAACCAATACTGTGCTTTGTGATAATGTCACTTTGGGGCAGCATATTGATGAGAAATAGTAGAGGCTACAGACAGATCCTTAAGAGACATGATGTAATGTGTCAGAGCAGGAAGAGAAGGCATTGCAAGCAATTTTTTGACTATGACGGAATAGGGAAAAATGGAGGCAGGTGAGTGTAGTCTAATACAGCTGGACAAAAGTGGAGAGATATTGGAGGAGCATAGCGTGGCTGGCTGAGTCAAAGGCTGCAGACAAGTCGAGAAGGATGGGCAGGGATGTTTAAAACGGTCACAGTCACATAGCTAAGAGCTGTTTAGGTGCTGTGACAGTGGAGAACCTCATTGTATGGTCTCAAACATGGAGCTCTGCAAAAGATGAGCATGGATTTGAGAGTTGATAGTAAATTCAAGGACTTTGAATAGGAAGATTGTTGACGAATGGTAATTTATAAGAAAGCAGGTGTCAAAAATTCATTCTTGGGGAAAGGGGTGATGATGGCAGATTTGACAAAGAGTGGGACAGCACCAGGGCAGACAGAATCATTAACAACACCAGCTAACCTGGGAGTTGAGAGGAGAGCTGTACAATCAGCAGTTTCATGGATACGTAGTCAAGCAACCAAGGTATTAGCCTCGTGGATAGACAGCGAGAGAGAATGATGCATTGAGATGGAGGTTGAGGGTGAGCAGTCATTTGGTTCAGAGGCTGAGGGAAAAAAGCAGTGAAAATAATTTGTAAAATATTTCGAGTTTTGGATGAGTGGGAGAGAATGAGTCTTTTAAAAGGAGAGGTAAGAGGGATAAAAGAAGATGAGATGCTCAAAGTAGGAAGAGGTGTCAGATTTAGGTCACACACAAATATATTAACATATTTGGAATGCACACAATTGCACATAAGCACGTGAATGAACATTGACTTACATTCATGTAAATATAATCACCTGCATAGACATATTCTGTACATTTTACTTGGGTTTTAGCTTGAGAAAACAAGAATGCTAGTAAAATAGCAAGTAGCATTACCAGTACCATTCTACTGGTTCCTTTGCTATGCCAAGTTGGCCAGATATAGCCTATAATTGGCTCCATGCCCACCCCCTTAATTCCAGCTAATTTCCAAGTCTTAGACCCATTTCAATACCAGTTACTTAGTGCTACTCCCAGCTTGGTTGGGAACACTACCTCAGTGGAGGTAATCCAGCCTATTGGATTATAATCTGGTGTCGTGCGATTTTTGACCTTGTCTAACCCAGTCCAACATCGGCACCTCCACATCAGTGGAAGTAGGAAAATTATTGCTGGTGCTGGAATCAGGAGTAACATGAACTGTTACCTTTGATGCAAACAAATAAAGTGTTTTGTTATGGTTGGAATTATTAAAATTTTCAGTCTTTACCTTACAGCAATATTATACACCAGTTGACTTAATCTTAATTATAACTAGTGATAATTTATTTCGAATGTTTTGTTTGACTTTACTCAAAGAGGAAAGATGCCCCTCCATCTCCTAAATATTTTGATAAAACAATTCCTTTAAGAAACAAACTTCTTTAATTTCTCCCAAATTTTATAACGACTACTTAGTAACAATGATTTAATAAAGATTGTTTTATTTTCTACAGCTTTATAAATTTGAACCATTTGAATTTTGATAAGAGCAACAAACTGTTGTAGAAGTTATTTTCTAAAATGACAGTGATGCCATAAAAATTTAACCCATCAGTTTATTAGACCTGGACTAGCTTATTAGTTTATTAGCTTAATGTTGGGCTAGGAATTAAGAATACTTAAAGTTCATGGGCAATCCCAAGGCAGTCATTCGACAATATGATATTTTAAAGAATATTCTCATTTATAATTTGAACAGAAATGTTTAATGTCAGCGGAAAAGCAAATATTACCTTCATAGTTGTTGAAGGACACCAACATTTGTACTAATGCTTTAAATGATGGGCGATTTTGTGCTCTGCTGTTCCAGCACCGAAGCATTATTTCATACAGTTTTCTCGGACATTCGTCAGGACAAGGCATTCGGTAATCTTTAGAAACCATGCTCACTACTTCTTGGTTGTTCATACCTGCAGCAAAATGATTATTATTAAATTGACTAAAATTAAAGCTATACTTTCCTAATAATTTCAGTGTGCAGTTTATGTACAACAAAACTGAAAGCCTACCTGGGTAAGGTGTTTTACCATGAGTGACTGTTTCGTAAAGAAGAACACCAAAAGACCACACATCAGATTTCACAGAGAAATGGCCAAATTCTATAGCTTCTGGGGCCGTCCATTTATATGGAATTGTAGTTGATTGAGACACGTACACATCCTCCTAGATTTAAATGAAACAGTAGAATGTTGAATATGACAAGAATAGAACATTTGGCCTAACTCTAATCTATAATTGGATTCCGGCCACTGAAAGTGCATAACTTTATTATCATTAAATTCCATTTATGCTAAGCAATATAATTTAAATATTAAATCAGTTATATAAAACAACTCACACATGGAGAGTGCGTCATTTAAGTGCAAACATTGCTCAAGGGATGTGGAATCTTGTATCAATCATGCACTATCACACTCTACAACCATTGCATGTTAATATTTCAGTGTCCATTATGTGAAATAAATTCCAGTGAATAATTTTGAAAACTTGTATTTTCCATGTTTAGTTGCTTATCTGATTTCCCTTCTCAAACACTGCTGTTCTTTGGTTCAAATTATCAAATAGGTCATCAACAGCACACTCCCAAGTTTCTATTGCAACAATTCAAAACATTTTACTTCTAAGTACTTTCTCTCTCTTTGTTAATGTTTTGCCATCATCTTGTGGTTGTTTACAGTAAAGTTAGCATCTACTTATCTATAATATTAATAGCCAGTGCATTTTGTGTATATCAAGGGAGTATGGTTATTTGCAGTGCCACCTCTCTACATTACAGTGAGTAATTAAAACTTTTCTAATTGTTGAATCTGTGAAAAAAAAATGTCACTATTCACATATGCCAGTTCTTTCTAACTTAGATGGAGGGGTTCAAACTGAAATTTAACAAAGTCAAATTCTGGTTTTATAATATAAGTTCATGATCTCCAGAAAAAAAAGTGAGATGTGAAAGAAAGAATAAATTAACAGATGGCTATGCATTCTTAATATACACCACAACACTTCATTGTCAATTAATCACTTTTGAAGACACTTATGAAGTTTATTTCCTGACCATTTCGTTTCTAAACCAGTTGTAATATGAATAATGATTGATTGGTTGATACTGATATTTGTGAATTGATAATTGTATGGAATTATTAGACAGCAGTAGCATTCAACAGCTTTCAGTTCAGCCTGTTTTCTGAACCAAAGAAGCTCACAGTTCCCAAGCTCTTTGCATTTTGTTAACAACTTTTATCAACTTTCAGTAAGTGTCAAGCACAAGGATGACTACATGTAAAAGAACAGAGAGCCTTGACTGAACAAATATCACTTAAATCTACAATTGAGCAAATTAAACATAGAGCAAAACATATCTCTGCAAATCTTGCAGGGAGACTGGGGAAGGAAGGAAGGATCAATGGGTACACACAAACACACAACACACACATACCCAATGAGTGAACAGAGGACCAGAGACACCCAGTTAATAAACATAGATGCAGATTCAGAACCTGTTATTTTATTACCACAAGAAAAAGAGGGTTGTCATCAGAAACATGTCAATTGGATTTGAGAATGAGGAACAGCATAGAATATTCACTGATAGCTAAAAAATGTTACAAATTTGATTCTTCTAAAAAGGAGACCCGAGACAAAATTCATGTCTCTGGTATAAATGGGATGCAAGAACATGGTAAATGTCATAAAGCTGACTTCCAAATGAACTTTATAAAGATACATATAGTTACTACTTGATGTTGACTTACAGCAATGAATTGCATCCAAAGACTCAATGGAAGTTGTTAACAGCTGCAGCAAAATAAGAGGGGTACTGAAATTGAAAGAAAGAGCCCAAAATTTACAGAATGAGTTCAACAAAATGTCTGAGTGAGCAGAACAATGTCAGATGAAAATTAAAGATGACAAATGTGAAGTATTGCACATGGGAAATATTAGTGTTACTAGTGTGCCATTAATGGAAATATACAAATGACAGATTATTAAATTGAACTGGTCAATATAGAGACTTAATAGAAATGTTGATGATCATTTCCAACTAAGTCAAATGATATATGGAATCAAATTTTACAATTCGCTGGTCAGATGACACATCAGGTAATGTGTCCAGTTCTGACTGCAAATAATCAGTGGTGATATTCAAGTGTTGAGAAGAGTCAAAGATCTGGGCATCTCAGCTTTTAGAACAGGCTGGAGAAACTTTGGATTTCAATCTTTCAAAATGAGGAATAGGAAAGATGGTTTTATGAAAGCATTTTAAATACTTAAGGGAATGTCATATTTCTTTAAGTTATCTCCTTGGGTGATACAAAGGGACAAGCATTCACAAAACTTAGAAAATAATTTTACAATTGATATTAGATAGAAATTTCTGATATGAGAATGAAAAATACTTGCATTTAATTTCTGGTCCCAAACTCTGAAACCATTTAAGAAACAAGCAGAGGTAAACATAGTGTGATTTTAGGGTATTACTGGATGGATGGATGGTCTTCCTCACCCTTAAGCATCTTGTGATGAAGCAGTAAAATCAAGAAGGTACTAAGAATATACCATATAAAATAGATCAAAGGTCAACTCTGTTGTATACTTCTGAATTGAATCTAATTAGGTTTATAGTAATTTCTGTTTTAATGGTCTACACATCTTTATTATAGTCCAAACTTCAGAGGAGATCAATAAGTCTGATAGCTCCTTTCTAGCATTATTAAATTTAGCAGTATGCATAAGTGATCTGAAAGGAAAAAAGCATTACCTTTACCAAGCGGGCTAATCCAAAGTCAGCAATTTTGCAAATGCAGTTTTCTCCAACAAGTACATTCCTTGCTGCCAAATCTCGATGGATATAGTTTTGGGATTCCAAATATGACATTCCCTCTGCTATTTGAACCGTCATGTCAAGCAGGTGTTCTGTGTTCAAATGTAATCCTTCTTTGCCTAACATTCATTAAAATGAACAGGAGTAAGGATGAATAGAACATAAAAATTGATTTTGACAAAAAATACAACTTTATTGATTCACATTTTGTATAATTCTACAGTAAAGTTTACATCTGAATATGCTACGTATTCAAGCTACAAATCTCTTATTATTTCATAGATGTGTGTGACAATAATGAACTTGCACTACATTTCTGTGCACATTAAGCATTTATACATAACATTGAGAAATCTAGTTAAAGCAGAAACAGATATAATTTACCAAATGTTAGAGACTGGTTGGCAATGGAATTAAATTAAGTCAAAACTAAATAAGTCAGTTGAGAAGTCTCCCAAGAGAATTTTCATCCATTTGATCTTTTTCAACTGAGTAAACTCAAAGCCGTAAATGGCCATTAAATTTATAAAATAGAACCATAACAGCACAGAAAGAAGTCATTCAAATGATCGTACCTATACAAGCTCTTCCAAAGAGTTACCCAATTAGTACTATGAGTCCAAATTATTTTAGCGAGATTGAGTTACATTCACTAATTATCCCGAGTTAAGGAAGGAGTAGAATATTTATGACCCCTCAGAGGAGACCAAATAAGAGCAAAAGTTCAAGAGCTCCAACTATGGAAGTCAGAACTGGATCATTAGTAAGCTAGATAACAAAAAGGTTAGCTGGGTTCCCAAAGGCATTTTTGCTCTTCAAAATACTTACTAATGAACTCAAAGGAAGTGAGAATGCTATATTTGCTGCAGACACTATGCTGCATGAGAAAGTATTTCAAAGACAAGTCAAGAAATTATTTGAAGAATTTAAGGCACAAATTTTAGAGGTAAACCTGGAATGGATTATTTCATTTTTCAGACACATTTGCCGATGGTATTAGGCAGTATTGTAACTGTTTTGCCACATGACTGATTTGTAGATTTCCAAAAGCATTTGGTCAAAGTTTGAAGTTATAAACAGAAAATGCTGGAAGGTCAGATAGCTTCTTTAAACATAGAAAAGCAAAGTTAACACTTTTGTTTAATGATCTTTCATCAGTTCTAAATATTAACTCTATTTTCTACTCACAGATCCAAATCTGCTGCAGGTTTCCAATAATTTTTGTTCTTATTTCATATTTTCAGAATCTGTCCCATTTTGCTTTTGTTTTAGAGAGCTGAATTTTCCTATTTTCCTCTCCTTTCTCTGCACTAAACAGCACTGTAATTGGCAGACTGGAACTGAGGGCTAAAAACCTTGTGCACTAAGAAAACAATGTAACCCACTCAGAGGTTGGCAGCCTGTAAGACAGTATGGAATTCACCGTGCAATGTTAAGTGGACAGACGTTGACTACGTCCAAGCACAAAGTGAGTGAGCACTCAGAAATCAAGCTAAGAGCCATAAGATGCATTTGTCTATATCAGCTCAAAAGCATCCTCTTTAGATGCATGAGATGCATATTTGCCCCTGCATACCAAGTGACGTGGAGAAGCATGCAAATCATAGGTGTCCATTAGCTCCAAAGTGTTGAAGGCTTGAAGTGGTGTCTGATTTGTTTTGAGAGCAGGCATGATGATTCAGCAAGGATGTGGTTTGCTGATGCCAACTTGTGTGGTTGAAGGGTTGAGGAGCATGGCCACCACACAGGAACATACAGGGTTGCCTGATGAAGCAGCTGAATGATGACTGGGACAAGAATTCAACAGGTTGCAGATACCAGATAGCCATTTTGAATAACGTGTCACGTTTTTGAGCCACCTAGTTTCTCAGTGGAGGAGAGGAAAATTGGAAGGGAGAGCAAAGTAGGGCAAGGTGGAGATGCAAATTTGTGGAAACAAAAGTGTAGTTAATACTCATGGGATAGATTCTGAACTTGTCATTTAAGTTCTGAGGAGAAAATCAGATGATTTCTTTTCAAAAGTCAAGAATTTGATTTTATTATTCTCACCCAATTTTGCCACCTTTTTTTAGCATTACGCTTGCATTATGCCAGGGAGTGGGAAATTCTACCCAATGTCACTTTTCTTGTTGGCAAAAGACAATATAAACTGCTTCAGGGCTCACAGAACTACATAAATTAAAGCCTTTCCCTTTTTGTCCTGAGTAGTAATCTTCAATCTGGCCCCTTGTGATGAAGTAATGAACATCACAAACAACCTTCTTGTAAACTCTCAGAATTTTAAAGAACCTGTCAGAAGTGAAAAAAAAGCTCTAATTTTCCAAGCTATAACTGTAGTCTGAAATTTGATCTTTGCAAACAAGATGCTGTTAACAGTATCCTATAACAGTATCCTTTATGTTAGCATTAGTGGTTTTATACTTCTGCAGTGGTGGAGAATCCAGCAAAAGTGGCTATTGTCATTTTGAAAGTTTTGTGTTGCAGTCTCCCAAATAATTTATGTAATTCTTCTTGATGACAGTTTTGTCTAGTTTGCTTCAGTCCCTTTGGAGATACCAATATCAAATCAAAAAAGGACTTCAAGAAAAGAATGACCTATTGCTAGAGAATATTTTAATATCCCAACGTAAAAATGAAATAGGTACACCTTAAGTCAGTAGACCGTAATGCCAATTTCCCAGAACACAATATCATTTGCAGCTACAGCCTCGATGGCTGAATTGAAAAAGGGCTCTGATTGTTCACTAAAACATTTCAACAGCACACTTAAAACAAATCCAAAATACTGAACAGGTAATAATATAAAAAATGTCTACTCAACTTCGTAAATAATTTAGCAAACTGCCATTTTTCATTAGTTCTGTTACAATGTAATAAGGATCTGCTGTTGTGCATACTGCATAAAGCGACATTATATGTGGATGATGCAATCTCTTCATAACCTGCGTCTCTGCCTGGAAATCTTTCTGATTCATTACATCTGGAGAAAAATATATGTACAATTGTAAGAATAGATTTGATGAAGCATAAACATTTTTTGTTTACTACATTTTTGCTCTTCGTATGTTATTTTCACAAAACTTTCCACCAGCTTATAGCCATATACGTAAATGCAGAGTTTTCGTAGAATTATAGAATCCCTACAGTGTGGAAACAGGCCCTTCGGCCCAACAAGTCCACACCGACTCTCACAGCATCCCACCCAGACCCATCCTCCTATAACCCACCTAATCTACACATCCCTCAACACTATGAGCAATTTTTCATGACCAATCCACCAAGCCTGCACATTTTTGGACTGTGTGAGGAAACCGGAGCACCCGGAGGAAACCCACGCAGACATGGGGAGAATGTGCAAGAATAGATTTTATTGTAACTTATAAAAAACTTAACACCATCTTTTTGGCCAGCATCTTTCTGAAAAGGGAAACAAACAGCGACTGTTAATGTAATGCAAAAGTAAAATTTCGATCATTATCGGTCGAAATCACTGCTAGGGAAGCTACAATCTGTGTCTAATTTCTAACAATATCCTTGTAGATATGATAATGGTTTTGTTACAAAGGGTAACTAATACTTGGGCAAGTATGAAATAGTTTGGGTAATTTCCTCTTTTGTTCTTTGTCTATTTTTTCTAGAACTAGAAACATTTCGCAATGAAGCATCATTATCCAATTTGGAAGACAACCACCAGTATGCTAACCTGTCAACAAGAATGGTCTATTACTGCAGGACCTTAAATATGTGATAGTCTTACTGTGCAAACTGGTTAACTTGTGACCTAAACATAGATTTAGTCTGAACTAATGTTTTTGACTTTCCATTGACTTTGCTATTTGAGCAAAATATCAATTTGCAAAAGAAGAGCAAAGCTGAGGTTGCATTAAGTTTCTTTCGTAGCCTTGTGTGTTAATTCTGTCAGGTTATTAATATATACATGAATACATCGCACACTGTTAATGTTGGATATTAAAATGCTGTTTTTCTAATAAGGAATGTTGTTATCAAAATTTCAAGATTTGATTTCCTTTTCAAGGATTTTTTTGCAAGAAGTTATAACACTTTCTGTAGCTTACATGCATCCTTGTAGGTGATTGGTGATGTTAATATTAATGAAATTTGAAACAATTCATGTCTTAGAGTTCATTCAAGTCAAATGTACACATTCTACAAATATTCACATACTATAAAGGCATTAGGACAATAAGTAGTTGCTAAATTATGTGGAAATGCTGCACTGACACAAAGAGGTATTATTAAGGATATAGCAAGAAAGATTGTGCAAGTGAAAAATATCAGTGTTATGCAAATTGTTCTGTACATTCCATTATGAAAAACAAAACATGTTGCAAAAAACAGTATCTATGAGCCAAATCACCCTGTCTCAATTCCAAGTGCTCTGAAATTGAAAAATATGCAACATAACAAGATAATAGACCCAATGTCACAAGAAATGCAAAGGTAATAATCAAGTTTGTCAGAAAGAAGTGTGGAGATTGGACAGGATGTCAAAATACCCAAAGGGATATATAAGTATATGTCATCTGCTTTTTTCTATGACAAGAAAAACCAATGATTGATCTGGTGGGCATCATTTAACTTGAGAACTAAGCGTGGAAGTAAACACCAGAACATACAAAAAATATGGAAGCAGGATGTAAGAAGTAACAGAGGAGGAAATTTAAGTTGCTATTGAAATGAGAGAAGGCAGTGTTCTAGCCAGCTGACCGTCCTCTTGAATTACCTACAGACCTGAATTGGTCAGTTTTACATTGGCAGCTGTTGACAAATAAGATATGCATTGGACATTGCCTCCTAATCTATGTCATGATAACCTTGAAACAGTGCTTGTTTAGGTCAAAAGGTCAGGCCGAACTACATTTAAATTGTTGCTATTAGAAATGGCATTCTTGATCATGTTGTACCATACTCCAACTCTCTGATCAGTAAATGTTTTGCCACAGATTGAAATTGACCACAATAACCCTTCGGATACTGAATGTCTTCTGAAACTTGCACATTGCTTTACAGTGAATTTTTTTTTGAGTGCACAGCAACATCTGCATCCGCAGTGAAACCAGTAGTTATCGAGACACAATAAACTGGCCCTCAATTGTTCATTTCCACTGCTACTAGGTCCAATGAAAATGGTTATAAGCAAAGATTAGAAAGGGACTCTTAACTCTTATAGTCAGACACTTTCTGTGGCTAAAATAGTTTAGTCAGCGTCAGCTGTAAATATTTGTGGAGTAGCCAGAAAGCAACAGTTGTGTGTCATCAAGAGATAGCAGGGTTTATCTTTGAATTCATTGTGTGGAGACTGGCTAAACAAAGAAGATTTCCAACACAGGCAGTGATGCATTTAGGGTTAGTCATAGGTCCATGAAATGACCATTTAGTATTTCTTGTAGAAGCTTGTTTGCTAGTGCACTGTATGTTCCTACTCCTCTACCTAGGAAAACACTTTGTCGCAAAACTTATCAACAAGCAACACATAAAAGTTAGCGACAAATAGGTAAGCATATTGAACACTTGCAATTATCGTTCCAGTTTCACCATTTTTCTATGGAGTAGAAAGAAGGTGGTAGATGTTCAAAAGTCAAATAAAGTAACTCTGAGATGTTTCCTTGGGTACCTGGATTTCTCTATAACACTGTTGCTCACAGTACTTTACAAATTGATGATTCCCTGGAGATCCTCGCAGATCAGGTGCGATTTATCAATTATAACATTTCTGGTCAACCACAATCACTTTACTCATTTGTTACTTATCATATCCTTGCAGGTGAGTTCTCACTGTTTCCTGTGCCAGAGGTAGTTATATGGCTTCTCTGGCCTCATTCCTAGAATACCTTCTCCATCTGATCTACTTCACTGAAATACACATGGTAGTATCTGTTACACCTATACTCTGCATTATCACTTCTCTCACTGATAGGAAAAGAAATTCTAAAACTGTCCTAACTGACCTCATTGGCAGAATTTTACTTTTGATGGGCATGGGAGACCAATCTGACATCTTCTTGCGGCCATGCCACTTAGGGAAATTTGGGTAAACATGCCATCTGCTTGGAGCATAATTAAGTTATGTATATAGACAATTAAGGGCCTCTTCCCATCTCCTCAGGGATTTCTCATCAATCATTTAAACAAGGCATTGACAAACTAAATCAGCTTTTGGAAATATTTCCTTTCATGATTGTTAATCAATTTTTGGAGGGGCAAGAATAGTTTGTGCAGGTCTAATCATGCATAACTAATCTGTTGGCACTTTCTCAAAAAATTAGATCATGCACTTTTTCAGCTAAATCAGCAAAAACATGTAAATAGGTGTGTCAGTTTTTACTTTTTGAAGCAATGAAATTTTAATTTATAAAAATATCCAATGGCCACCTGTTAGTGACTATTTCACTGTAAATTAAATTAGTTTGAAATAAGAATAATTTCTTCAAGATAAAACCGAGCATAGGATGCTAGAAAAATTAAAGGTCACACAGCCTTAGAAAACAGCATAATTCTTCAAGAAAATGATCTGCGTTCTTTAAAATAAACTTTGCTGCAAACCAATAACATTGTTAAGTATGATTCCAGTGTACAAGTAACTTGAAATGGGAGTTTTAAGCAAGGTTCTCGAGGCAGCTAGGGGTGCCCAATAGATATCAATAGATAAGGATCTGTATACTAATGAGGTAACAAAACCGAGAATGATCCTTTCTAAAACCCAGGTCTGCAAAATTCAAATAAGATTAACACCAACAAGAACCATATTAGTATAAATAAGGCAATGTTGCCTAAACTATAAGGGGTCAACTGCTAGCCTCAGAGCTGACATTGAGTCTCCTGTCCTAATTGAAAAAAAACACTTTCATGTTGAAACTTGCTTCAGGCACATTCTTACCAACATGGACCGTTTTGATGGCTACTTGAACTGTTTTATTCCAATATCCAGCATATACTTCTCCAAAATGTCCAGATCCCAATTTCTTTGTGAATGTGAATTCTTTCTTTGGTCGCTCCCAGTCATCCACAGTCAAATAGGACAAATCCCTTATATTTGGTTGATATTTCTTCAAATACAAAGCACATAAGATTGGAATAAATGTTTCCTTCAAGTGTCAAAATGTATTGATTGTCAAAGTAAAAACAAAATTAATTCCTTAGCAATCGTTTGGTTCATATTTTCATGAACTAATTAGAATATATTTTTGTCTGCAACGGTTCCTGAAAGAACACATATGAACATTCTAGATTCTTCTCTATTTTGCTGCACCATCTGTCCATTTAAATTGGACAGAAGCAGTGGGCTGTGCATGAAAAACATGCACATTGCAAATCAACATTTATGCAGGAATACTTTTAGTAGAAAAATAATCACAAATACTTAATTTAATGAATGCATCAACAGTCTATGCAATGGTACTTCGCAGATTTAAAAAAAAATAAACTACCTTTAAACAGTATCAGACACTACATGGATGCGAACAACAAGGAGAATAAATTGACTTTAAGCTTCATGCTGCTCATTTGCAATTTTATTGGAATCTCAGGTCAGATGGTGGTAACTTCAACTTTAAGTCAATGGGGTGCGGGTTCAGGTACCTTCCAGGTCTTGATGACATAAATTGGCCAATAATTCAACTACAAAAGAATTCTACATTCTTGAAGGTGATTTCGTGCAGTTGTAAAACTAAACCAAAGTGTCTGTTAAGATAGGTATTAAGAATTTGCTGGCACTTCACTAACAGAATATTTTATTCACAGAACGATCTTAACAACAGTTAGGGGTTGAATATTGTTTTGATTATGGAAGAAATTTTGCACAGGTATTCCTATCTAAACTTCTTCTCAGAACTGAAATAAAGTGGCCCACTTTTTAATGTGCCCAGGATATTAGCTGTGCTTGCTTATATGCATGGACCTAACTAAATAGTACCTGGAAAATATGAAATGGAAGTTAATCGAGTGTGATGTAATGAGATGAAGCCCAGCCTGTCAGAAACAAAATCAGGGGCTGTGCATGCAATTTCCTGATGCATCAAGTTCCTTGCTGGGAAAATGTAATCAGAAACTCTACCCACAATGTCAGACAGCACAAATGTTTTGTATGAAGAAAAGGTTAACCTGCTTTTTTCCACAGCAAACTGAATTCTGTCACTTTTTGTCTTTCAACCAAAGCTGTATATTGTTCTCGTATTTAAAAAAATGGCCTGAAGATACATCTTGATAGGTTTCACTTAAAATTAACTTACTTTCGGAAAAGGTGTAGTTAATAGGAGATTTGATCGAAGACAACTTAATTTGTAGTATTCCACAAGTTCTTTTAGACTGGAAAATTGTTTGTTTGTATTCAGGCAAAACGTCCCAGCTTTATTTTGCATGATTCGATAGTGTCTGATAATGGCTCCATCTCGTACTGAAGAAGAAAGGATAAAATGGGAATTCTGCATGACATAGTATGTCAAAGAAGATTACGAGAACTTGGTCAGATAGTTTAACTTAACTCATCAGAACTCCAAAAATTAAAAACAAATGAAAGCAATCCTTTGATAAGAGCCACTGCAGTGTTCTAGATTCAAATTCTAAAAGCCCTCCCCTTTTCTGACTCCATTAATTGAGAGGAAATCACTGAAACGATAGATAAAACAAAGGAATAATGTTAGGGAACAAAGTTGAAAAGTTGTACCCATTTCAATCAACAAATGAAACAAATTCACAATGTTTCTCTTAAACCTGGTATGCCACAGTTTTTGGAAGGTAATCAACTGAGGCAGGTTTTATAGGTGTGGAAAAACTGGTGAATTTTTAAGTGAAAATCTATAGACTTTGACACAAAGTGAATTGCAGAAGTGGCGAAAAATGAACATAGGGTTAAAACAGATTACAGAAGGAAGGGGTGGAAGTATAGGTTGGATTTAGTTTGGCTTGGAAAGATTTGGAAATAAATGCTGGTGCATAGCTAGCTGATGAATGGTAGTATGGATGTGAAAATCAGATTGAATGCTTAGATAGGATTTGTCTGAGTTACAGTTTATCTAGAATGAAGCTCAATAAGGAGAACTTTAGGGAGGCCTTGGCAGAGATTTTAATGCGACCAAAGTACAGATGGATAGAAATGACTAATATTTGGGAACCAATGATGGAAGTCTTAGCAAATGTATGAAAATAAGCTCGTAATCAAACAGGACAATATGATTGAGCATTGTTAAGTATAATCTGAGTCAAAGGCACGTGAAGCTGAATTGATGAAAATGTTCAGTACCTTTAGCACTTGAACAACAATGGTTTTGTTCTGGTCATCCATGACCTAATGTTAAGGAAGCAGTTGACAGCATAACAGCAGTATAGAATCAGGTCATTGGTGGAAGGGTCAGTGCACTTGTCAAGTTGAATATCACCGGTATTCAAGTGGAAGCTCATCCCCTGCTTATTTATGTTGCTGACGGCAGTGTGATTCAGGATTAGAGGGCTTCTAATGATGGACTTTTAGCTGCATTAAAAATGAAGACCCAGAGGAGAAATCATTCTGAGAGATGATTTGGTTTAATTGGGTCAAGTAGGAATGGAAATATGGAAGGGCTGTTACACAGATGCAGAAGAGAGGAGATGGTGCATTATGGGCAACAGCGTTGAAGATAAAGGAGAGGCTGAAGAGTTTAAAGAGGAATGTTAGGGTTCCACTGCAGTCACAAAGGGTACTGGGCACTTTGAAGTCATCAGTATCAATCTGTGGGAACTTGGAAGGATATAGATAGGAAATGGTGCAAAATGTATCCAAGGAGATGACTAGAGACATGCAGAGGAGGGTTTTTAACGGGCATGTTGCCACTTCCTAATCTCACTGGCTTTGTCTAGAATATACGTTTACTTCTATGCTTTTTTAACAATAGAAAGAGGAACTGGAGTAGACCATTTAACACTTCAGTGATGTTAATTGAGAAACAAATATTTGTCCGGCTATTGGGGAAACTTCCTGGATATGTGAAGATACCAAGAACTGCAGATGGTGGAGTCAGAGACAACACAGTGTGGAGCTGGAGGAACACAGCAGGTCAGGCAGCATCAGTGGAGCAGGAAAGTTGATGTTTCAGGTCGGGACCCTTCTTCAGAAATGGGGAGGGGAAAGGGAGCTGGGAATTAAATAGAGAGAAGGGGTGGGGCTGGGGAAGGTAGGTGGGATGGTGATAGGTGGATGCAGGTGGGGGGGTAGTAGGGATTGGTCAGTGGGAAGGGTGGGGTGGATAGGTGGGAAAGAAGATGGATGGGTTGTGTCAGGTCAAGGAGGTGAGAGGGAGGAGGGGTGTGGCTGGGGGAGGGTTGGTGGTATGGTGATAGGTGGATGCAGGTGGGGGTAGTAGGGATTGGTCAGTGGGAAGGGTGGGGTGGATTGGTGGGGAAGGAATGAACAGGTTGTGTCAGGTTAAGGAGGTGGTGATGAGACGGAGGTTTGGGCATGGGATGAGGCTGGGTGTGGGGAGATTTTAAAACTGGTGAATTCTATGTTCAGGCCATCGGGCTGTAGGCACCCGAGGTGGAATATGAGGTGTTGCTCCTCCAGTTTTTGGGTGGCATCATTGTGGCACTGGAGGAGGCCCCAGGATGGACATATCATCAAGGGAGTGGGAGAAGGAGCTAAAATGGTTAGCGACTGGAAAGTGTTGTCGATTATCGCGTACAGAGCGCAGAAGCTCCATTAAAAGGTCTCCAAGTCTGCGCTTGGTCTCCCCGATGTAGGGGAGGCCACATCGGGAGCAGTGGATACAGTAGACCAAGTTGGTGGATGTACAGGTGAACCCCTGTCAGAAATGGAAAGGTTGCTTTTGGCCTTGAATGGAGGTGATGGGGGAGGTGTAGGGGCAGGTGTAGCACTTCCTGCGGTTGCAGGCAAAAGTGCCACGAGTGGTTGGGGCTAGTGGGGAGTGTGGAGCAGACGAGGGAATCATGGAGTGAGCAGTCCCTACAGAAAGCAGATAGGGGTGGGGAGGGAAATGTATGGGGTTGGATTGTAGGTGGCGGAAGTGGCAGAGGATGATAGGCTGGGTGCAGAGGTTGGTGGAGTGGTATGTGAGGACCAGGGGGATTCTGTCTTTATTTTGTTGGAGTGAGGGGATTTGAGGGCAGAAGTGCAGGAAATGTAAGAGATGCGGTTTAGGGCATTTTTGATCACTGGAGGGGGAAGTTGCGGTCCTTGAAATAGGAGGACATCTGGGATGTATGGGAATGGAATGCTTGATCTTGGGACCAGATGTGGCGAAGGCAGAGGAATTGGGAGTAAGGGATCTCATTCTTGCAGGAAGGTGGGTGAGAGGAGGTGTAGTTCAGGTAGCTATGGGAGTTGGTGGGCTTGAAATAGATGTTGGTGTTGAGGCAGTTACCAGAGATGGAGACAGAGAGGCTCAGGAAGGGGAGGGAGGTATCGGAGATGGTCCTGTGAATTTGAGGTTGGGGTGAAAAGTGTTAGTAAAGTTGATGAACTGTTCAAGCTCCTTATGGGAACACAAGGCTGCGCAGATACAGTCATCAATGCAACAGAGGAAGGGGTGGGGGACGATGTCAGTGTAACTGCAGAAAAGGGACTATTCCACGTATCCTACGAAGAGGCAGGCATAGCTCGGACCCATACAGGTGCCCACAGCCACCCCCTTAGTCAGTAGGAAGTGGGAGAATTTAAAGGAGAAGTCGTTCAGGGTGAGGACGAGTTCTGTTAAGCTGATGAGGGTGTCAGTGGAGGGGGACTGGTTGGGCATGTGGGACAGGAAGAAGCAGAGGGCTTTTTGGCCATCCGTGTGGGGAATGCAAATGTATAGGGACTGGATGTCCATGGTGAAGAGGTGGTTTTGGGGGCCAGGGAATTGAAAGTCTTGGAGGAGGCAGAGGGCGTGGGTGGTTGCTAAAGATACTGAAATTTTATCAATTCAACTTCACCAGCCTTTGACTTAGATTATACTTAACAGTGTTCAATCATATAGCCCTGTTTGATTATGAGCTAATTTTCATACATTTGCTCAAAATTGTACCCCCTCACAAGTGGGGCTGGAGGATGCAAAACGGGCAATTCAATATCAATGCTCCCTCTAGTTGCTTATTATGGCGATTGGACCTCAGAGTTCTGTGCTTTGTATTGACTTCTGAAACTGGAAATCAGTGAGTTGGCATGCCAAACAGTTTGTGAAGGACCTTGGAGTGGCTGCACGGTTGCTCAGCTTAGCGGGAATGTTGCTCAACGTAGCTGGCCAGATTCAACATCGGAAACTAGGTTGGATCTCCTGTCTCGCAGCTAAAGCGCGTATAATTTGCGTATATGAGTAGATTTTGGTAATCTGCTTTAGGACCTCCTCCCCTATTAGTTAAACAGCCCTTTACATAACCAACAAATAAGAAGCATTGGCACATATAAGAGTGAATCACATCGGCTTTGAGGACTAGAATCAGACTTGGCAGTTACAGGTAGCCCAGAACTGTAAGTTGAATGCCTGCACTAGGCTTTAAAAAACAAAGAAAACACTTTGTTCTCATTCTATTGAGGGAGGAAATGAAGCTGTTGATTGTAGAATATTCCCGTACAGGAAATCTAGTTCAGGTTTAACCACAAACTGACTGGATGTGCGGTTTTGATTGTCATGTCGCAAATGATCAGTTATGAAACTCAAACCATTACTCCACAATAAAACTTAAAAATAACTCATGCAGCTGCATCTAGATTTCTTTTGACATTGAATAAAATAGATTAAATGATACCTAACCCTAACAGGTTCAAATAAAATGTTGATTACTTGTATAAAATGCTTACCAGATAATGCATATGTGTTTTCTTGATTTTCACTTTCACGGATAAGAAAAGACCCAGTTATGGTCTCGCTAGAGAGAAGAATAATTTTTGCTTCTGACCGGCTGAGTTTCCCAGCATACCAACTGTCAAGGGAAGAGGTAAAGTGCAGTGAAAATTAAGTCACAGACTTACAAAATTAAATTCCAATACATCACTTGCACTATGCTTTTTGTAATATTGAGATTTTGTAGTTTATTATTCCTGAGACAAAACTTTGAATTTCCAGTTTTCCAGTGGTTGAGGATTGCAGCAACTTAAATTATTTTTACGTAATCCAAACTATGAAACACGTCCAATTTCTGACATTTGTATGATATTACACAAACTGACTTAATGGGATGTACATCCTAAGACTGAAAACACATTACACAAACAAAAAGACTAATCTAAGTAATTGGAAATATCCTGTCAATCTGATGTCTCCTCTCATTAATTAAGTAACTAAGAACATAAGGAATAGATTATATAACTTTACAAGCCTGCTGTTATTCAACAGGATCATGGCTGTTCTACCTCAAATTGGATGTTGTACCTAATTGTTATCTTTCAACAATTCATATATAAGGACACACATGCCCTTCTGAATACGAACGTTTCCAGTCTTCCAGCATTCAATGTTTAAAAAGAAGCCTATTATTTTTCAAACTAAATTGGATAACTTTATACTTTCCCATATGATATTCTGACACGTTCTTGCCCACTCATCCAACCCAACCATATTCCTCCACAGCTTCTTTGCAGTCGTTTCACTGCTTACTTTCTCATCTAACTTTGGTATCATCAATAAACTTCAATGTGTTGTACTCAACTCCTTCATTTAAGTTATTAATGGTACTTAACTAAAGATAGCCCTCCAGCCTAAAAGTGTCCTGTTTATTCCCACACTGTTTTCCATCTATGAACCAGTCCTAATCCACATGACTACATTACTTCAATCCCACAAGTCTTGACTTTGTGCAATAATCTATTGATTTCCACTTTATCAAAAATCTATTTAAAAATCATAATAATCTGTATCCATTCATGTCACTTTTTTCATCCCACTAGTTACCTCCTAATGGCCAGCTAATTAAGTTACTGACCCATTTGGCACCAGGAAAATCCCAGGTTCCATCTTTGATCCATATCTAATTGCCAACCCTCCAAGATTGCTCTGCAGTACCCAGACATTGAAGTTTTATCTCCTGAGCACTGCTGTGAGCAACACAAAAAGAAAGTCACAAGGACAGAAAACAGCTCCATTTTGAAAATGTTCCTTGATTAGTTTTGTTTTATCAAGAAATATTGAAAAAACTGTTGGACTGGGGCAGTGCCATTGGAGGTGAATGATCTTGTGATGAAGCCTCTCAGAGCAGGTCTGATCAGACTGGCAGCCCTAGTGACTTAGCTAATCTTTGAAAATAAAGGGCCTATGAGATATTCACGGCCTTAATTAACCATAAAGTCTTTGCAATCCCCGGAAATTACTTCCTTCGCTGCATCAAGATAAATAAACAGATGTTCCCAAGCCTGACAGCTATCCAGTGGTTCATGCTAAAAATGTACAGGGGTGAAATTTGACAATGTCTGAAAACAGGTACAGGAATTGCAACGATGGACCAACCTGCACATGTTGATTCTGATGCAGACAGCACACCAATTTTGTGCTGCCTGCTTACTGACATGTTTGCAGTGTGGAACGAGCAGGAACAATGGCTGTGCACCTCAAAAGATCCAAACTAACAAAAGCTGGTAGCAGTTCTGAAGAAGGGTCTAGGCCTGAAACGTCAGCCTTCCTGCTCCTCTGATGCTGCTTGGCCTGCTGTGTTCATCCAGCTCTACACCTTGTTATATCTTATAGCAGTTAAAGGTAGCCTGCACTAATTAATGAGGGTGGGTTCATTGTTGCTTGAGAATCATTCTACAACAGACTCTGACATGGGAAAGAGGCCAGGCTCCAAGGATTCCTGCTGCACTGAATACAATCCACAGGGTCATGAAGATCCCACAGACAAATGCTCAGGATGTAATGGAAGCAGATAAGCTGGAGGTCAATGGCACGAGCCAAGCTCTCAAGACCAGGATGCAATGCCACAAGAAATTCATTTAACTTCAGCAGAGTGGAAAATCTCAGTGAATGTATCTTTAAACTACCAACTGTACCATTTATTTCAGATACTGCTCAACACAGTACACCTTCATCATGCACCTACCATATCCTCCATCAAGTAATCAGAATGTGGAGGTGCTGGCGTTGGACTGGGGTGGACAAGGTCAGAAATCACATGATACCAAGTTACAGTCCAACAGGTTTATTTAAAAACACAAGCTTTTGGTGTCTTAGTCCTTCTTCAGATGTTAGTGAGAGACGTAGTATCAGACAGAGAATTTATAAGTAAAAGATCAAAGAGTCACGCTACTGATGAGGATGTATTAAACAAACCTAAGGTGCCGTTAAATCTTTAATTAGTTAGAAGGTTTTAATTGATAACATATGTATGTAAATCCACAATTTCCTTTCAAGTCACTGTTCTGAGAGAACTAAAGGATTTATTGTGTAAAGAAGAGGTGACATTTTAGGTCAGACAATGCATGTTAGGTGTGAGGCCTTGTTTAGAATCTGTTTGTGTTTTGGTTTGGAGTCAGACTGGTTTAATTTCTAAAGTTCGAATTTATAAAATGCCACATTGACTGACTGTCTATAAATTTCTGAAGAAGGGTCTCGGCCCGAAATGTCAGCCTTCCTGCTCCTCTGATGCTGCTTGGCCTGC